CTGGGCATAGCTCAGAGTAATTAGAAATAGGCTTAACGTTATGGCTGGTTTGGATACAGACGTTAACACGTACGCACACAGGCACATTAGAGTATAAGAGAATTAAATAAGCTTTTATATATCCATCTCTATGTACATTTTTTTACGGTCAGTATATACAAGAGGTAAGTTAGAACTGAACAATTTTATTGACCTGGTATTTACGGATTAGAATAACCCTTTAAGCTCGTATTCAGCCACTTTCATACCAAATAAAAGTCTTCACATTAATGCTATTTCAAGAGATTCTTCGAAACCCGCGCTTTCTTGGCTTAGTGTCAAATTGAAGCTTTTGCGAAAAAGAGTTCCATCTGTTAAGATGTTCATTTTTCGCGGAATGTGTCCATTTGAAGGTCGTGATAAAGTTGAATACAATTGCAGATCAACCAACAACCCTTTTCTTAATGCAATTTTATAGGAAATTAACGATTCCGCAACAAAGTTACCTTATGAGACATATCGAAACCTAGGCTACTCTTCAAATTGAGGACTAAGTCAGCCTTGATCGCATCAAGTGATTTAAGGACTGATGGCTGACTTTTTTCCAAGGTAGTAATCTCATATAATTTCCCTTAGTCTTGCCTCCCAAAAGCCACGACACACACGACCTGATATCGAATCCCGTTGAGAGTACTGATGAGACCCAGGCTAGGTCGAAACTGTAGTCCACAATGGCCAAATGAAATTCAATGTCATCGTGAAGTCTACTCACCTCATTTTTGGAAGGCTCAGCAATCCGATTATAACTCCTGACAAGCCTACTCAAATGGTGTCAGGAACCAAACCCTGGTTGATCTACTGAATGAACCATCTATTCGACTTGAGTCAAACGCTCCCCCACGACCTCGAGTGAGAAAGACTTCATAGATTCGCATGAGCGGTTTACACAATTCTTCGACCTCTAAACAATATATTCCGTCTATCTTGCTCAGATCTCACAGCTTATATTCAGACATGCTCATTATTTGCTTGAAAGCCTCAACCTCGTGTGCCCTTAAAGTTGTACATTCATGGATGTACTGATTTCAGTGAGTTATGATAAGACAAGGTCTCGTCTAACCACTATGCTGGTTCTATTTAACCTTGAAATAATTCGTCTATTAAAAAAACTTTTATTAAATCATGTCACTACTTGCTACGGGTTAAGTAGCGTCCAAGAGTATCTGCATATTTTTGAAGCAAAAAATCTTGTCAAGTTAGGCCAGATTTTCCAGTTGAGCACAATGAAGTGAATAGAATGCCTTAGTGGTATCATCATCGCCAAAAATCAGACTAGAAATCTGATAGTATGTTAGGTGGTAACATTAAACCGCCCGACTACATAGCATTTTCATGAAATAGCCCAGCAACGCTTCCCCCCAAAAGCGTTGTCGTGACGCAGCTGCGCGCTGGATCTTTACGACATACCTTCGCGAAGATATTCTGAGATAAGTCAATATGACACATGTTCACGCAATAGCCATGCACTACAACACTGCGTATCAATTGAAACAGTCTGTCATTGTGGGATCGAACACTACACAATAGTATAAATATAGTTTTGCTTATAAGCAGGGTTTAAAGACTACCACCTAATCAGATATATGATGTGTTCACTTTATGACGTTTAACGTTTTGGAGGACGGGTGGGGTTTGCTTATGTCGTTGAAAGAAAATACAATTACCAGTCCATCATCACTTTAAACGAAATTGGGTGAACACACCTCATATGAAGAAGTTACATTTTCCCATATAGGAAACATTTGATGGTGGGAGGATTCATCTTGTAGCTGGGTTTTTAATGAATCGCTTAAGTATATCTTATTTTGGAGTGTGAAATTGCATGATGAAAAGATTCGTCAATTGATCCCACCGAAAGAAGACGTCTAATTTGCATTGTTCTGCCGATGTTCCACTCGAATACTACCTTCAGATTGACACAGTCCACGTGGCATACTTCCTCGTTTCGGTTGAATATGGCTGTCACATGAAAAACATCATCAGGACCGGAACCTATTCCTGCAAAATTTCAAAGTCAAGAAAACAATCCGGCTCTATCCTATATATTATGTATCACTCCCAACTTAAAATGGATGGTTTCATAGCATGACTTACACACATTCAAGCTTACATCTCATCAGTCCAGCCAGAGTTACTTATAGACTTACGCAATCTCGATCCGCCTTTTATATTAGGTCGTTAAGCCTTTACGACCCAAGCCTGACGTAAGGCTATTTTGCAATCACTCTGGGGTATGACTGACATTGTCCGACTTCCCCCCCCCATACACATTCATACAAACACACATTGATGAATATGAAAGCTAACTATGTTCAAAGCATTCTGCTAGGAATTTACAAGAGTATGCTTCAGCTATGACGCTGTGCGCCTAATGCCGTCATGGTAGGATCTTCGTCTTTCTGAGAGATATAAATCAGTCAATTTCTTCATAGTGCATTTTTCTAACAAATGGAAGGGTCTACAACAAATTTCATCGTCTTATGCAAACTAAGCTGACTTGCATTCTTCTTGTGATCCCCTTTTGAGTGTAGCGTCTCTTGGCCGGTCGAATAACCACATCTTTGGTAGGTCGGAGACTTCCAGCCGGGCTTGACGAACGGCACACATCCCTGCCCCGACACGAGGCTGGGCGCCACTACTCGTCCAGCAGCCTGAAAACACTGGCGTCGCCTAGCAACCTCAGAAGGTACCGGTGTCTTGGCGCCAGAAGCATTCATGGCCGCGGTCGCCTCGACGACACTCGTGCGTCTGGACGATTTCTTCACCGACGCCCAGGCAGAGGTGACGACAAGACGTCGAGCCTTTTCGGTGTGATTGGGTGACGGAGTGGCGGAAACCGAGGAGGAGGAGGAGGAGGAGGAGGAGGCGGCGGAGGAGGAGGTGGAAACCGAGGATGAGGAGGAGGAGGAAGACGAGGAGGAAGAGGAAGAGGAGGCAGGGTACCTGAGCGGCTCGACGAGGAGCCGCCCGCCGTCTGGGACTCGAGCCTGGATCCAAGTCCGTCCGGAGGGGCCTCGAGGCTGGTCTCGAGCCGTCAGGCGACTGAGATGTCGTTGCTTGTGCAGCGGAAGGACGAAAGAGCGCGGCATGCTCTGCGATCGGAGGCCCACTGAAGGCGTCCGTCCGGGACTTGCGAAGCCGCTCGGCGACTGCACCTTCAGTCGGGGACTGGGAGCAGCAATGCTCGTGGCCGGCCGGCCTCGAGCTGTCTCGAAACGGGACTCGAGCTGTAGTCGCCTCGACGACGGCTCGGTCCGACCGGACTCAGTCGCCACGACTGGACGACAGGGTGGAAGGCTCGGTTGCGACACCGACACGCAAGTGATGTTCGTCTGCCCGACCGGACGAGAACGCAGCCGCTGTGGCCTCGAACGACGCCGCCCGTTCAGCGGCTCGCCGGTCAGCCCGAACCGGCCTGCATTGGCGGGACTCGACCTCTCGGCCGTCACCAAGGCTCCAGTCAATTGGCCGGCCCGGCAGAATCGTCCAGATGACTGAGTGGAGGCAAGGCGGAGGCCGATCAACTGAGATGGGCCCGTCTGATGCCGGCCGCTTAAGGAGCCTGCGTTCACAAAAGAGAGGTACATAAATCTACACTCCAGAGATGCGGAGGCAATTCGGTCCATCATAAACAGTACCTCCTTAAATGATCCAGATCACAGTTTAATGGTTTTGTACTACTCGTGCTCAATGCTACTCGCAGCTTGTTGTTCTTAACTCTGACGGTAGGTGGAGGTTTTACCTCGTTTGCGCAACTTGGTCAACCGACCAAGAGATAGTGTCGACTACTTCGTATGCCACATTAGTTATGACAAGGTCTATCCGTCGCCTCGAACAAGCTGTAAAAACAAACCAACTAAGACTGAAGGTAAACCTAAAGTAATGCAACCATGGTCGTCATAGTTACCCATTATGCTGGAGGGCCCACGGAAAAGTGAAATCATACATTGGTCGTTACGGGCCCTAGGCGAACTTCATGTTGGCCTTAAAAGTGTAGTTGATAAAACGTCTCAAAGTGCTCCAGATGCTTTAAATCGGTTATTAATTAGCAGTTCACATGAATATGTGCTGCAACCTCAACCGGTTTAGGCGTAAGAGATTGTGAGTAGTATGCATCATAAGTAAGTACCATACGTTTGGGTGACTATCGGTAGATCTGATATAAGAGCTGCGTTCACTCCGTTTCATTTACAAAGATGGAGAACTTGTTGCTTACATTTTCACACAATCGTTACTGCTACAGTAACCGTTTTAGAGTAACAGCTTGCGAGTAGTATTTACGACAACTAGGGCCAGAACAATATTGTATCCATCAAGAACTATGACACCCCACGGCAACACAAGTGCTGACAATTGAATTCTTAGTATACTGACTGTCGAAAGCAACCGGATCGTAGAGGAAGTGTGTATTCACCATGGGACGTCGTGTAATGAGGTTAAGGAGTGATTGTTGGATTATCCCATAACAACACAATGCCAGTGAACTTTACTTAGTGTTGTCGCCCAGACGATATTCTCCTTCCGTCCAGATCGGACGACAGTGCCGGTCTCTTCTGGGTCTTTGCACTGCCCCCAACGGAAATCATACCTGGAGATGTTTTTTTTAACTTCCACATGTCGAGACACCACTTCATATAGCCAGAAACCCAATTTCAATAAAAATTCGTAACAAAGTTCACCCTATTTCGTTTAAGGTGATGAGGGACTGGTATTTGAATTTTCCTACAACTATATGAGTAGGCTCTATTCATACCATTGTGGGAATATTCAACTACCTGTCCTGTATCATCTTATGCGAAACGAGGTCACCTGAGCTTATGCAAGATCTGCCGATTGTCTCAAAACCCACATAGGGTAAATATAGGGTGATGTGGCTAGTGCAAAGCACATTTTAAGCTAAAAATATGCGTGTGTTTATGCTTTTGTATGCATAGGTGTGAAACTAACAACAATCGCTCTAAGTTGTATGGAATAAATCGTAAATTAGGTTGTTAATCATCAAGTTTGGAGATCGTTTTGGCGTAATGCCAGACACGCGCCGGATGAAGTAGATGAGATATTGTGCATCTAAACAGGGTACTACAGAATAATTTTATCTTCCACATTTAGCATCATCAATTGTAATGACATGTGTATATTGTTCTATTATTTCTCGCAAATAAAGCAACTTTGGTTGGAGGCAATTCGTGGATTCTTTCCTCGGAAGCCGAAAGAGGATAGCCTCGGAGGAATAAAGAGTGTTAACTTGTGCGATGAGATGACGATACATTTTCGCCTGTCATGTGGCAGACATCAAAAAAGCAAGATACCATATTTTACGAAATGTCGCGGCAAAATACCAAGACCAAGAAAATAGGCAAATTATTTCAGTGTATTGGTACGCTATTTTGTGAAGTATAGTTTTTTGCCTTGAAACCACTTTACACTATTTGCTACGAACTAGCCACATCATACCATTAATTCTAACGGTGTTTAGAGACGATAGTTAGATCTTGCATAAGTTCCATTGACTGGCAATTAGTAATTACTTCAACAATACGAAAAGGCCTCACGGTGTAACAGGAAATGGAAACCTGATTGCTCAACAGTTTTTTTCCTTTTCTCATGTTAACGCTACTTTGTTGACTCTATTTCGCTTAAGGTGATGAAGGACTCGTAGTTAAATTTTCCCACAATGGTATAAATAAGACCTACTCATATGATTGTGGAAAATTCTAACTATGAGTCCCTCATCATCTTAAGCGAAAAAGGGTGGCACATCTTATATTTCAATACTACGTCACACTGCTACAAGAGCATACGAGAATTTTTCGACAAACAAGACCTCGGAAAGCCCAAAAATACTGACGCAAACATGCATTTGTCATTTCAATCGACTTTGTTACGAATCATAGATTTGCAGATCAAGATGGGGTGCGTTTTATCGTAGCTTTACTTGGCTGTAAAGTATTGTTTCGACCTTGTCTTCGCAACTTGGTCTGAGCGTCAGGAAGGTCTTGTGGAACGTACCTAATCTCGTGTCCTCTGCCATAGTATTCGTGGTACATTCGCAAACGTTTCGCCGGCATTGTAGTCGGCATCGTCAGTGAGAGGTGCCATCTTAGGCACAGAATTACATCTTAGCAAAGTGACCAATTTTCTGCAATGAATGATCAATGAGATTGGATTTCTATACCAATTCTGGCTATATGACGCAGTGCTTCGACACATCGTCTGGGACGCAAGGTCAAGTGGAGTTCACTGGCATTGTGTTGTTATGGGATAACCCAACAATCATTCCTTCCCTGCAGTACGCGACGTCCGAGAGTGAAGACACACTTCCTCTACGATCCGGTTGCTTTCGACTGTATTGCTGTATGGCCGAATAAGAATTCGATTATCAGCACTTGTGTTGCCGTGGGGTTTCATAGTTCTTAATGAGTACAATATTGTTCTGGCCCTACTTATGGTACATACTACTTGAGAGCAATTACTCTAAAAGGGTTACTGTTGTCTCCCAAACCGATAGTGTTTACTTATGGTGCAAACAACTCACAATCTCTTATGCCTAAAATGCTTAAAGTAGCAGCATATATTCATGTTAACTGCTAATTAATTACCGATTAAAAGCAACTGGAGCACTTTGAGACGTTTTCTCAACTGGCCTTTGAAGGACAGCAAGAAATTCGCCTAGGTTTCTTAACAATCAATGCACTATTTCATCTAAATGCTTTATTTTGTCGGATTTCCTTGGGTAATTCAGACCGATG